GGAGGGAAGGAAGGAAGGAGGGAAGGAAGGAAAGAAGGAAGGAAGGAAGGAGGGAAGGAAGGAAGGAGGGAAGGAAGAAGGAAGGAAGGAAGGAAGGAAGGAAAGAAGGAAGGAAGGAAGGAAGGAAGGAAGGAAGAGGGGCTTCGGGTCCCTGCCTGGTAATCCCGGCTGCAGAGCACAGAGGGAAGGCAGGAAAGAAGGAAGGAAGGAAGGAAGGAAGGAAGGAAGGAGAAGGAAGGAAGGAAGGAAAGGAAGGAAGGAAGGAAGGAAGGAAGGAAGGAGGGAAAGAAGTGAACTACAGATCCTAGCAGCCCACAGCATGGAGCCAATGCAATCCAAAGCGGTGCCAAAGCGTGCCTTCGTTGCACTGTTGCTCGAAGGCTCTTCCTCGGAGCGGAAACCAGGAAGGAAGGAAGGAAGGAAGGAAGGAAGGAAGGAAGGAAGGAAGGAAGGAAGGAAGGAAGGAAGGAAGGAAGGAAGGAAGGGAACAGGCCCAGTAGGAGGGAAGGCAGCCTGTCTGCGCCTGCGCGGAACGGAGTCCCCGAGGGAGGGGGGAGGGAGGGGAGAGGCCGACAGGGGGCGCCCCCTTCCGAGATGCAAATGAACCCCGACAGAGGGCGGCCAATCAGGAGCGCGAGGGAGGGCGACGTCACTGCAGGCCCCGCCCCTTCCGATCCGGCTGCCATTTTCCAGGAGGAAGCCTCCTTTGTGGCCCAGGGAAGCCTCCTCTCTCTCTCTCTCTCTCCTTGGATCTCTGGAGAAGGTGTGTATGTGCCTCTCTATGTCTCTCTGGGATTCTCTCCTGACTGGGGAGCCTGAGGGAGGCCTTGTGTGCCTCTTGGTGGACTAAGAGGAGGTCCCCCTGAGGGGTCCCTGAGGAGGAAGGAAGGAGCCTCTCTCTCGCTCTCTCTCTCGCTCTTGAGGAGAGAGAAGCCTGCCTTGGCGAAGGAAGGAAGGAAGGAAGGAAGGAAGGAAGGAAGGAAGGAGAAGGAAGGAAGGAAGGAAGGAAGGAAGGAAGGAAGGAAGGAAGGAAGGAAGGAAGGAAGGCGCCCAGGAGGGAAGGCATGGGTCAGGGGGAACTACAACTCCCAGACACCCAGGGCAGTCACCCCCAAGCCCAGCCAGTACTTACAGTTGGCCATGCTGGCTCTGTGTGCCAAGTGTGGTCCAGGTCTCTCACTGGCTGGGTTCAAGGGCTCTCTGGGTCAGGGGGAACTACAACTCCCAGACACCCAGGGCTGTCACCCCCAAGCCCAGCTAGTACTTACAGTTGGCCATGCTGGCTCTGTGTGCCAAGTGTGGTCCAGGTCTCTCACTGGCGGGGTTCAAGGGCTCTCTGGGTCAGGGTGAACTACAACTCCCAGACACCCAGGGCAGTCACCCCCAAGCCCAGCCAGTACTTACAGTTGGCCATGCTGGCTCTGTGTGCCAAGTGTGGTCCAGGTCTCTCACTGGCTGGGTTCAAGGGCTCTCTGGGTCAGGGGGAACTACAACTCCCAGACACCCAGGGCAGTCACCCCCAAGCCCAGCCAGTACTTACAGTTGGCCATGCTGGCTCTGTGTGCCAAGTGTGGTCCAGGTCTCTCACTGGCTGGGTTCAAGGGCTCTCTGGGTCAGGGGGAACTACAACTCCCAGACACCCAGGGCAGTCACCCCCAAGCCCAGCCAGTACTTACAGTTGGCCATGCTGGCTCTGTGTGCCAAGTGTGGTCCAGGTCTCTCACTGGCTGGGTTCAAGGGCTCTCTGGGTCAGGGGGAACTACAACTCCCAGACACCCAGGGCAGTCACCCCCAAGCCCAGCTAGTACTTACACTTGGCCATGCTGGCTCTGTGTGCCAAGTGTGGTCCAGGTCTCTCACTGGCTGGGTTCAAGGGCTCTCTGGGTCAGGGGGAACTACAACTCCCAGACACCCAGGGCAGTCACCCCCAAGCCCAGCTAGTACTTACACTTGGCCATGCTGGCTCTGTGTGCCAAGTGTGGTCCAGGTCTCTCACTGGCTGGGTTCAAGGGCTCTCTGGGTCAGGGGGAACTACAACTCCCAGACACCCAGGGCTGTCACCCCCAAGCCCAGCTAGTACTTACAGTTGGCCATGCTGGCTCTGTGTGCCAAGTGTGGTCCAGGTCTCTCACTGGCTGGGTTCAAGGGCTCTCTGGGTCAGGGGGAACTACAACTCCCAGACACCCAGGGCAGTCACCCCCAAGCCCAGCTAGTACTTACACTTGGCCATGCTGGCTCTGTGTGCCAAGTGTGGTCCAGGTCTCTCACTGGCTGGGTTCAAGGGCTCTCTGGGTCAGGGGGAACTACAACTCCCAGACACCCAGGGCTGTCACCCCCAAGCCCAGCCAGCATTCACAGTTGGCCATGCTGTTTCTCTGTGCCGAGCTTGGTCCAGATCTAGTTCCAACAGGCCTCACAACCTCTGAGGATGCTTGCCATAGATGCAGGTGAAACGTCAGGAGAGAATGCTTCTGGAACAGAGCCATATAGCCTGAAAAATCCTACAACAATCCGGTGATTCCGGCCATGGAAGCCTTTGGCAGTACAACACTGTTATTCTGATTTTTTTTCTCCCCCACTTTGGCTCTCCGGCAGGAGACTCAACGCGGATCAACAGAAAAGCATCCGCATACCATTTCAAGCAGGGATCCTCAAACTTTTTAAGCAGAGGGCCAGGTCATAGTCCCTCAAACTGTTAGAGGGCCAGATTATAATTTGGAAAAAAAATGAATACCTATGCACACTCCACATATTTTATTTGTAGTGCAAAAAACATTTAACAATACAATAATTAAAATGAAGAACAATTTTAAGAAATATTAGTATTTCAATGGGAAGTGTGGGCTAGCTTTGGCTGATGAGGTAGGTTTGTTGTTGTTGTGTGCTCTCAAGTCGTTTCAGACTTAGTTTGACCCTGAGCGAGGGCCGGGGAAATGACCTTGGAGGGCCGTATCTGGCCCCCGGGCCTTAGTTTGAGGACCCCTGATTTAAAGGATGATGATCTACATACTGCGGTTTACATGGGTAGATTAAAACAATACAATATACTTATTATTAATATTAATATTATTATTGACTAGACGTCCCCTGCCAGGCATTGCTGTGGCCCAGTCTGGTGATCTGGAAAATAAAGTAATGGGAAAGTGTTGGTTTCTAATATATGTAATTTTTTATGCTTGTGGGTAAACAGTATTTTTTGTTGTTTCTTTGTCCATGTTGATGTGGAGAGTGTCTGGTTTCCCTGCTCTGGGATATGTAACATATTATTGTCCTTCTTCAGGGGTCCCTTTCAAATCTATGATACTATATCTCTCTGTGTGTGAATCATATCTATCTATATTTATGGCTGGATGGCTCTTTGTCGGGAGGGCTTTGATTACGTTTTCTTGCCCTGGTGAAGGGAGTTGGACTGCATGGCCTTGAGTATTTTCTGTCAGTCATGGGGGTTCTGTGTGGGAAGTTTGCCCCAATTCTGTCATTGATGGGGTTCAGTGGGGTAACTACAACTCCCAAATGTCAAGGTCTATTCCCCCCAAACTCCATCTGTGTTCATATTTGGGCATATGGAATATTCGTGCCAAGTTTGGTCCAGATCCATCTTTGTTTGAGTCCACGGTGCTCTCTGGATGTAGGTGAACTACAACTCCCAAACTCAAGGTCAATGCCCACCAAACCCTTCTGGTGTTTTCTGTTGGTCATGGGAGTCCTGTGTGTCCCATTTGGTTCAATTCTATCATGCAATTTGATTGTAGGTGAACTACAAATCCCAGCAACTACAACTCCCAAAAGACAAAATCCAATTTTTTGAGTGAAGGACATACATTGGGTTGTTAGGCGTCTTGTCAATTCGATGTCAATTTGATGTCTTGTCAATTTGATGTCAATTCGTCCAGTGTTTTCTGAGTTCTGTTAATCCCACAAACGAATATTACATGTTTGTTTCGAGAGATTTCTCCCCCACTTTATAATTACACATCTATATATATAAAAAGGTGGACGTCGTCGTGAGTGGTTTAAAAACGGAAGAACTACAGGACCAAATATCACCAAATTTGGCCTTGAAATGCCTCATACCCCAAGGTATGACCAACAATCATCAAAATTAAAATAAACCACCAAAACAAACTCACAAAATCTAAAAAAAAGGAGAGGACCACACGGAGCGTGCGCACAGGGGTGGGGAGGCTTCACGCGCGCCGGAGACCTCCTCCGTCATCTCTCTCTCTCACCTCGGCTAAACAGTCCTCCTTGCTCTGGCCACTTGCTTTCCCCGCTCCCATACCGCTATAAAATAATGTTCCTAATGGGAAGGCAATGGGAAGCCGGAGCATCCTCTCTCCCCAATGGCTGTGCCT